ACACCCGCCTATATCCGGAGGAATGAAAATTTAGGGGGGTGAGGGGTAGGGGTCTGAGATTATATTTTTTTGAAATTTACCCCCCCGGAAACATGCACTGATTTTTTATTAATTAAAAAAAATGAATTTCGGGGAAAATACATGAGTATAATGAGTATCACCCTCCTCAGTATGCGGTTTCTCCGGGGGCTTGAAGACAGCCACATATATCCGGAGTGATAGAAATTGAGGGGGGTGAGGGGAAGGGGTCTGAGATTACATTTTTATAAAATTTACCCCCGCGGAAACATGCGCTGATTTTTTATAAATTCAAAAAAATGAATTTCGGGGAAAATACATGAGTATGCGGTTTCTCCGGGGGGTTGAAGACAGCCGCATAAATCCGGAGTGATAGAAATTGAGGGGGGTGAGGGGAAGGGGTCTGAGATTACATTTTTATAAAATTTACCCCCGCGGAAACATGCGCTGATTTTTTGTAAATTCAAAAAAATGAATTTCGGGGAAAATACATGAGTATGCGGTTTCTCCGGGGGGTTGAAGACACCCGCCTATATCCGGAGGGATGAAAATTTAGGGGGGTGAGGGGGAGGGGTTTGAGATTATATTTTTATAAAATTTATCGCCCCCGGAAACATGCGCAGATTTTTTATAAATTAAAAAAAAATGAATTTCGGGGAAAATACATGAGTATGCGGTCTCTCCGGGGGATTGAAGACATCCGCATATATACAGAGAGATGAAAATTTGGGGGGGTGAGGGGAAGGGGTCTGAGATTACATTTTTATAAAATTTACCCCCCCGGAAACATGCGCTGATTTTTTAAAAAATTTTTAAAAATGAATTTCGGGGAAAATACATGAGTATGCGGTTTCTCCGGGGGGTTGAAGACACCCGCCTATATTCGGAGGGATGAAAATTTAGGGGGTGAGGGGGAGCGGTTTGAGACTCCATTGTTATGAAATTTTCCTCTCTGCAAACATGCGCTGATATTTATAAATCAAAAAAATATGAATTTCGGGGAAAATACATGAGTATGCGTCCTCTCCGGGGGGGTGAAGACAGCCGCATATATCCGGCGAGATGAAAATTGAGGGGGTGTGAGGGGAAGGGGTCTAAGATTACATTTTTATAAAATCTACCCCCCCCCCCCGGAAACATGCGCTGATTTTTTATAATTTTTTGAAAAATGAATTTCGGAAAAAATACACGAGATTAGGGTTTTTCTGGGGGGTTGAAGACACCCGCATATATCCGGAAGCATGAAAATTGAGGGGGGTGAGGGGGAGGAGTCTGAGATTACATTTTTATAAAATTTACCCCGCTGAAAACATGCGCTGATTTTTTATAATTTTTTGAAAAATGAATTTCGGAAAAAATACACGAGATTAGGGTTTTTCTGGGGGGTTGAAGACACCCGCATATATCCGGAAGCATGAAAATTGAGGGGGGTGAGGGGGAGGAGTCTGAGATTACATTTTTATAAAATTTACCCCGCTGAAAACATGCGCTGATTTTTTATAAATTAAAAAAATGAATTTCGGGAAAATACATGAGTATGCGGTTTCTCCGTGGGGTTGAAGACAGCCAGCCGCATATATCCGGAGTGATGGAAATTGAGGGGGGGGAGGGGAAGGGATCTGAGATTACATTTTTATAAAATTTACCCCGCTGAAAACATGCGCTGATTTTTTATAAATTAAAAAAAAATGAATTTCGGGGATAATACATGAGTATGCGGTTTCTCCGTGGGGTTGAAGACAGCCAGCCGCATATATCCGGAGGGATGGAAATTGAGGGGGGTGAGGGGAAGGGATCTGAGATTACATTTTTATAAAATTTACCCCTCTGGAAACATACGCTGATTTTTTATAAATTAAAAAAAAATGAATTTCGGGGAAAATACATGAGTATGCGGTTTCTCCGGGGGGTTGACGACACCCGCCTATATCCGGAGGAATGAAAATTTGGGGGGTTGAGGGGGAGGGGTTTGAGATTACATTGTTATAAAATTTGTCCCTCCGGAACCATGCGCTGATTTTTTTTCATTTTGAAAAATGAATTTCGGGGAAAATACATGAGTATGTTGTTTCTCCGGGGGGTTGAGAAATAAATCTTCTTGAGTTACTTTTATTCCCATCTCAAATCACTTTAGAGCCTGTCCAGCACGTCTCTGCACTATATATTTTTTTGCGAACTATTTCATTTGTTCAAAACTTGACTATAAACGGATAGTTGCATTAAATAGATGGAGACTACCAGATATTCAATTACTCTTGATTAACACTAAAAATTGCATGAAAAAATAATGAGCATAATACAGATTTCATCATGCGAGACGTAACATTTCTTTCTATACCATTTTCATGAATAAGTTGCAGGAAAAGTTGGAAATTAACGAAATCGCATTCTTCTGGACTTGAATTTATGAATACAGATAAACTACTGTCTGCCCCTCCCCCCCTTCTTCGAACGAAACGTGCAACCCTACGGATACACACGTCTGTCTGCAACCCCCTGTGAAAACCCCATTATCTTGTATTTTTCCCGAAATCGATTGTTAAAAAAATGATAAAAAATCCCAACATNTATTTTTCCCGAAATCGATTGTTAAAAAAATGATAAAAAATGCCAACATTTTTCCGAAGGAATGACTCTTGTAAAAATGAAATTTGTGACCCCTCCCCCTTAACCCCGTAAATTTTCACCCCTCTGGATACATGCGGCTGTCTTCAACCCCCCGGAGAAACCGCATACTCATGTATTTTGCCCGAAATTCATTTTTTTTAATTTATAAAAAAATCAGCGCATTTTCCGGAGGGGTAAATTTTATAAAAATGTAATCTCAGACCCCTTCCCTCACCCCCCTAATTTCCATCACTCCGGATATATGTGGCTGTCTTCAACCCCCCCGAGAAACCGCATACTCATGTCTTTTCCCCGAAATTCATTTTTTTTAATTTATAAAAAATCAGCGCATGTTTCCAGAGGGGTAAATTTTATAACAATGTAGTCTCAAACCCCTCTCCCTCACCCCCCTAAATTTTCATCCCTCCGAATATAGGCGGGTGTCTTCAACCCCCCGGAGAAACTGCATACTCATGTATTTTCCCCGAAATTCATTTTTTTTATGTATAAAAAATCAGCGAATGTTTCCGTGGGGGGGGGCAATTTTATAGAAATGGAATCTCAGACCCCTTCCTCTCACCCCCGTCCATTTTCATCCCTCCGTGTATATGCGTCTATTTTCCACAGATTTCCATAAACCGAGCGGGTGCATAAATCAATTTATTTATTGAATTGATTAGTTTTTTAATTCAAAAATCAATCCATACAAAGATAGTTGTTTAGAAAATAATTTTAAATCGTTTTTTCAACATAATTTAAAATATATATATTGTTCATATAAATTCTGCCAGCCCCCCGCCCTCCCTACAACGGGTGAAAATCTCAACCCTCCGTATACATATCCTTCCCCCCAGTTCTCACAAAGTTCAAATTTTTTAGATTCGATTCTTTTATTTATCTAATTATTTGATGACCCTCTTGGCCCCTATTTGACCCTGAGCATTCTCCTCTTCTATATCTATTTGCCATAACATTGTTCACGTAGGCCAATTGGGTCAATACAGAATTAAACTCATTTAAAAAAATGCCAATATGAACCTATTGGATAATCAATTACGTGAGAACATCCCTTTACCAGTTTTGAAAAATATTTCTCCCGCCACTGCTGCCGACTTTATCGGAGAGAAGTCGACACTGCCGCCATCCGGCAGCGTTCCTCCTACTGACTTATTTTCTCCTTCAATACGCAGACAGTTATTTTCCTTAATTAATGGAAATTAATATCATTAAAGGTACTAAAATTGATTAATAATTCATAGATTAACATCCATATAATGGTTTCAGGTATCATTTACCCTTTTTTACACCAAAACAAGACAGCCCCAATTAGCCACCTAACTTAAGCGGCTGCTTGCATCCCAAGGATCATAACAGGGGCTACCAACACATGTGTTTATATTACGATATAAAAATAATATTTTACCTCTCCCAACGCCTCATAACGCTTCTGATTATAGTGCACATCTCTACTGACATTGAACTCATATCCTTCATTAGTCGTTTCCCTAGTGTTTGGATCGATCTTCCGAAGTTTCCCGCCTGAAAAATGTTATCAACAATACGAAAAATGAATAATGATAAATGTCAAGTGATAAAAAAATTAACCTTCATCAAAGTCATATCCAAAATCCTTCAAAGCTTTTGGAAATGATTGAGCCTCATTGATTGCAGAGTTTTCGAAACGCTGGATATCAAAAATATATTCGTTTAAATACTACGTTTATGATACCATAACCTAATAATAAACACTCGAGAGAATTCTTTGTTTTTCGATACCGTGGATGACAAGTACATAGAGGCCCTCTCTGTCGTTCTAAAGCAGTGGAGATAATAGATTACAACCGTGGAATTCGCAAAAGCGATTTCTCGTCGTCTGGTGGTGGTTTGTAGAATCATTGTCTTGCGGAACCAATCTGATGGTAGTGCGCGAAGGCTCTGGAGTATGAAATAGCAAATTATTCATTGATGTAGACACAAAAAATGTAGACCTAACATAGTATATTTCGTCACAAGACCGAAAAAAACTTTTCTGGCGAAAATGAGTTTGCAGCCCGAGCCTTCGGCTCGGGCTGCAATCATATGAGCTAAAAAAGTTTTTTTTGGCCGTATGACGAACAGTATTTTTTGTTATGACGGGGGGGCCCGTTCGTACTTCGACAACTGTACACTTCCACGACTGTCCACAAACTTGGTGAAAAATGTGAGGGAACAACTGTACACAACCACGACTGTACACCGGCCTTGCGGTCGGTCAAACAGTGTCGGTAGAGTAGAAATTGCATTTGTTTTATTTGCAGTCGATATTAATTATGGATGGCGCCATGTATCCCACTATAGCAGAAATGATCGTCCGCGATTCTACCGGGTGTCCACTATTAATTACACGCATATGTATCCCAAGCAGACTCTTGAATTAACACTGCATAGCGCAGTCTCATTTGAATTGAGATATCAATCTCATATCATTCAATTGTTCAATAAAATTGAAAATGCAAATAAACTTACTGTGAATTTGATGGGAACCTCGAATTACATTTGTAATCGAATTACTTGAAAATTACTAAATCTATGTGGTGTATAAAATTTCTGTGGGAGAGATTTGATTACACTGCGTATTTTTAATTTGTGATTTTCGATTATCAGTTCCGATAAATTAAAGTAATCGATAGTAATTACAACGAGAATTACATCAAAATTTTATTGTGATTAAAAATGAAATCGAATTCATATATATAATTTACAACGCCCATTCGGAATTCCTCCAGTATCTGAAAAGTCTTTTGGCAAAAAATACTCATTGTGAAGGAAAAAAAATTTGCTGGAGTAAATTACATATTACAGCTGAGATTAGGAATTTCCAATTCCTAACTAAAAAAGGAACTTCGTAATCGTCATTTTCAGATTATAAAATGGTAGAGTAACTGCAATATTCGAATATCCGATCTGTCGATTTAATTCAGACCGAATTTTCGGTTTGATTCAGACCGAATTTTCGGTTTGATTCACGCCGATTTGTCGGTTTGATGCAAATCGATTTGTTCCTAAATTCTCGATGTACATTGTCGATGAGGTCCCCTTGGGGAGCCTCATACATGGGCGGAGGAGGGTGTACATCAAAAATTCAGTACACATTCAGATTTTGCATAAAAGGAGAGGCGGAAGGCTTGTGAATTGAGAATTCACAACCAAAAAAATTAAGTATGTGATTTTTTCAAAAATATTTCTAAAACGAAGGGAAATAGCGAATTTTTACAAAAAT